CCAGACACCTCTCATGGGGAGAGGCAGATGGCCAGTTAATGAGCAGGTGTTTTGGCGGGGGAGGGCTCAGTCTGTGGCACAGCACAAGTGAATCCCAAGGGGAAAAGGGGGGACAGACAGGAGGTGGGGGCCAGAGGGGATTGCAAATCATAGCAAAGCAGTAGCTAAAACCAAGGTGGATTGAACTGGGGAAGAAGTTATTTGTAGACTCACTCATGTTTTATTCTAAGACAGTGTCCTACAATCTCAGACCGGCTCTCTTGCCGGTTCTTTGGGGTCTGCTACAGCACACTTACCTTCCTGAAGCTGTTCCCAATTTCCTTTAGCTCATACTGGCCTTGCCCACAGCCTCTTGTGATTTCTGTCCATCGGGGGGATCTTAAGCACCCCTACATGGGCGCTCCTATGTGTCCCATGTTTTCTGTAACTTATCACATACAGTTCTTTCCTACACTGACTTAGAAAGTTTGTCATCTCTATTTTGCAGATAAGGACCCAAGCATATGCAAACTCTTCAAAGACAGTAACTGGATCTTAAAACACTGCTGTTTAAGAGAACCCAGAATAGAGTGAGACTGGGTTAACTCTTCCCAATTTGAGTAAAATTTGTCAACAATAACATCATGTCCTTTAATGGCATAGCTGGCCTGCACTGGTAACTACATTGGGGAAATATCTTGCATAATCCGGCACTGAGGCAGCAGGCACTTTTGAGCACATCTCTACTTTGTTGTCTTACCAAGAAAATGGTTCATGTGATGGAGTTTTAGGACTTTCAGGTTTCTAAATAAGAGCTACTTGTCATCCTCACTCTGTGTAAATACAGCTGTGCTAGTGCACAGAATAGACACTTAGTCTATTACTGTGACATTCTGCTATAAAATCTAAGCTTGCACACTTAGCTCAAGGTCCTTTCTTTTAGTTTAGATACTTTTTCAGTAATGTTTGTATGCTGTCACCAGCGGCTGGTACTACTGAGCACCAACCTCCGCTGACTAATTGATTTCCTTCCCCATGACCCTAAGCAGCAAGGGAAAGGTCCACTGTATGGGAAGTCACGGTAGCTACACCAGGGCAGGGTTGTAGGCAGGAGGGTGCCTGTAGATTTTCTACTAAGTTGGACATCCTGCTTTGAGACAGCCCTGACTAACAGAAAATCCAGGAGGCTCTGAGGCACCCAGTTTATTGCTGCTAAAAGCAATCATTGCTTGAGTAGTAGCATAGCATTTGCCTTATGTCACTGACTTCACACAGACTAGTGATCAGAAGCAGCAAAGTATGGTGATTAGATGACCTACTGCCCTGCTTGACACTAACTCCTGTAAGGATTTAGCCAGACTAGTGTGGGAGTGGCAGATGCAAAACACATCTATGTACTGCTAACCTGATTGTTCCAGAAACACCTGAAATTGCTTCTCCAAGGACTCAGGCCCAGCCAACAGAGATAGAGACTATTTTCCATTGACATCATGTTCGGTAAGTGTTGGATTTTCACACCAAATGTTGGCACTTTTGCCTGTTTGTACATGTTCATAACAAATGTGACTGTTGAAATTAGTAGTCCCTAGATAAGAACGTTGTTCCCTCCTGGCATAAGTGTGTGAGCAACTCTTTGCCATTGTGTATGAGTGCTTAAGCTGTGCCACACTGTCCTCCTCATATGCATTTGTGTGACCCAAGGATAGGCATAGACCTAAGCCTTCCTCTCCCAGAGGAATGCCTGGTGTATCCATAGACCAGACCATCAGTAAGGCCAGCCCTTCACCTATGGCACAGATGCTGCAAAGTGGCTTTAGAGAAACTGGGAAACAGCACAAGTGCCATTAACAGATAAATAGGTAAGCAATGTGTGATATCTGCATACAATGAAATATTCTGTCAAGAGCAGGGAAATTCTGGTACTTGCTACCACATGTATGAGCCTTGAGGATATTATGCTAAGTGAAAGAAGCCAGTCACCAAGAGGAAAGTAATGCATGATTCTAATTCATTAAGTATTTAAAGAAACAGAGATTTCCAGAGGTTGGAGGAGAGGGGAATGAGGACTTAATGTTTGGTAGGAACAGAGTATCAGATTTACAAGTTGGAAAGGATAATGGAGATGGGTGGTCGAGACAATGGTGGTGGCTGCACAATATTGTAAATATTCTTAATACCACCAAATCACCTATTTAAAATGGTTACTGTGGTTAAGATTTTAAATATATTTTACAACAAAAAATTTGAGAAATAAGACTTTGGAGAAGTAGTGATTGGAAAGTGCGTGAACAGTAATCTACATTCAGGACAGAGGTAAACACACAGTAAGGGACATGCAAGAAAAGGGGGAGGAGAGGAATCAGAAAAAGTGAGCCATACGTCATTCCTGCAGGGCCAACGAGCAGGAATGCAGGGTACTGCAATGGGTACTCCAGTGGACCCTGAGAACGCTGCAGGGTGTGAATGCTCAGGGGTCTGTTTCTATAAAGATTACCCTGAGTCTTCGTGGAATTATGATTTATGGCTATGGGGATGTTTACCGAGCAGGGAAGTGAATATTTCTTTATAAGAACATTAGCATAAAAAATAAGAGCATGTCGAGGACAAGGAATTCTTATTCATTGCTGGTGGGGATATAAATTAGTACAACCATTATGGGGAATGAGGAGATTCCTCAAAAAAACTAGAAATAGAACTACAGTACAATCCAGCAATCTCACTACTGAGTATGTATCTAAAGGACATGAAATAGTTATGTCAGAGAGACATACCTCTGCCTTTGCATGTTTACTGTAGCACTATTCACAAAAGCCAGAACTCGGGAATAACCTAGGTGTTCACTGACTGATAGTGAATAGAGAAGATGTGGTATATATAAACAATGGAATACTATTCTGCCTTGACAACAGAATGAAATCCTTTCATCTGCAAGAGAATGGATGGAACTGGAGGACATTATGTTATGTGACACAAGTCAGGCACAGAAAGACAATCACTACTTGTTTACACTTACATATGATAACTAAAAAAAAATTAGTCTCAATAGAAATAGAGTAGAACAATGGTTACCAGGCCTGAGAAGATAAAGGAGATTAGGAGTGGGGAGAGGATGGTTAACAGGCACAAAGGTATAGCTGGATAGAAGGAATAACTTTTAATGGTCTATAGCACAGTAGGATAATTATGATTGATAATAATTAATTTTACATTTCAAAATAGCTAGTGGAGAAGAGTTTGAATGGTGTCATCACAAAGAAATGGCAAATATTTCAGGGCATGTATATGCCAAATACCCTATTCTGCTACTTATGTACACATATTGAAATGTATACAGGGCCAGAGATTTAGTTCAACAGCACAAGCGCCTGCTTGGCAAGCACAAGGTCATGAGTTCGATCCCTAGTACCAAACAAAGAAATAAATACATGTATACAATATGTGTAAACATTATGTGTCAATTAAACAGTATTTTTAAGCCAGGTGTGGTGGTGCATGCCTATAATCTCAGCACTCAAAAGGCTGAGGCAAGAGGATTGCTGTGAACTTAAGGCCAACCTGGCTACATAGTGAGCTCAAAGCCAGCCTGCATTATAAAGTGAGACCCTATCTCAAAAGGCCAAAGGAAACAAATACTTTTAAAAGACTTGACCCACATCAATTTGGAAATTACAAAAAAAAAAAAAATACGAAATATTCCCGCATCAATTTGGAAATTACAAAAACATACCGAAATATTTTGAGCCACCCAAACAGTGTTGCAAAAGTAAAATGAATATTTAAACACCAAACCCCAGTTGTTCCAAAATCTCTTGAACAGCATGTTCCTTACTTGGCAGGTAATGAAATAGCTGTGTGATAAATACTGCAATTCTAAGTGTCACTGTAAAACCTTTGAGGATTAATGTTTTTGTGATGCAGTATTGTTACTGGCTTTTAACAGAAGAGCACAGCTAATGATTTTCTAAGCATAGAGATTCATGGTAGAGTGCTCACCTCCTCACTGAAACCATAGGTAATTTCATGAAACATAAATAAGTCTCTTTAATGTCAGTCTTCTCCCTGGTTCCCTGAGGGCTCTGCCCTGAGCACTGATAACAGTGAGACTCAGAATAGCACACAGCTTCACTTGTGTGAGTATGAAGAGCCTGGCAAGCGACATCAACCAGCCATGGTTTCTTCGTAGTTTTAAAAAAAGGCATCATGGCCTTGCTCCTGCTGGGAAGGGTTGTTCTTGTCAGGCTTGTGCTGTTCTTTATTTGAAATTAGCAAGTCAGAGCCTTCAGAAGTACATGAGGGTGTCCCCAGAGTGTTAGATGGTATTCTATCCATCCACTTACCTATCCTTCCTTCCTTTTCTTCCCCCACCCATCCTCCCATCCACTGTCCGTTCAACATCACTCTATCCTTCACTCTATCCTTCCTCTATCCAGGAAATCTTTACTGAATGTCTGCTAGACACTTGTGGGCCTGGCCTAATGACGTCTCTCCCTGGGGGTGACGGCTGATGGCTATGAGAAGCAGGAGAAGCACTGTACTGCAGCGTGCAGGCTAGAACACAAAGACAGCAAATGCGTGGTGGGAGCAGCGAAGACCATACAACTTATAACATGATGGCATTGTCCAAACCGAGGTATCCAGAAACTGAAAGAGGTTCGGTATGGCTGGAGTGTTAGCAGCAAGGTAGGGACCAGGTAGCTGAGGGAAACATAAGGACCAGCTTATCGGGGACTTTACAAGCCATATCAAACATTTGGGACATAATCTCATCTAATCCTCTCAGAAACCTATAGAGATACCTATAATTTTCCCCCACAAAGCAGATGAATTGCACCTTGGAGAAGTTGACTGATATGTCCAAGATGATACTGTTGTTAGGTGTCTATGGGAACATCTGCACCCAGGTATTTTCAAACTCCTCTGTGATAACAGAGGATTCCATGAGACACTCCATCCAAGTTTAGTTTGCTCTGTCCTCTGATGGACCAAGTCATACAATGTGTTACAGTTTCGGGGACACTCACCCTGAGAGACAGAAAGATGAGAAATCCAGAGCAATGATACAGTTGTCTTCCATATCCGTAGGTTCCTCACCTGCAAATTCAACCAAACATAGATTGAAAATATTTTAAAAATTCCACCTGTGCAGAACACAGACACGTTTTTCTTGTCATTTTTCATTACACAGTATAACAACTTTTTGCAGGGCATTGGCATTGCATTAGGGATTATACATCATCTAGAGATGACTGAATGTATATGGGAAGATGTGCATAAATTATATGCAGATTCAACTGGAACATCTCTGGATTTTGTATCTGGGGGGCATCCTGGAATCTACTCAGCTAGAAGGACAACTGTGCCTAGAGCACCAATCCCATTAAGCAGGGAGGGACTCAGGAACTCAGAGAAGTGTTAGTATAAACCAAGTCCAGGAAACCTGCAGGAGTTTCTGGGACACAAGCAGAGTGCACATCACTGGAGGAAAGATTGCTGCAACTGGCTTCAACCTCAGCATGTGGAGTCCAAAGATAATGGAATAACACAGGCCATGTATAGGAACCAGAAGTGCCACAGAATCTACCTTAAAATGGTCCTTAAATATGAGACTGTTTCTTCTTGTTGCCTAAATTGACTAAAGACTGAATTTCTCCAAAGTACAAGTCTTATTTTCATAACATATAAAGAGTTTCTACAACTTAGCAAGGGAATGGCCAAAAACTAAAGAAAATTGGACAAAAGCTATAATAAAAAGTTTGCAAAAAGGAGACACAAATTGCTTTAAACATAACAAAAAAAATTATTCTTACTCCTGAAAAGGAAATGTAAACTGAAACTACTAAGAAATTTAATTTGAACCTACCTTTCCAGTTGAGAAAAACAAAAAATGCTTAATAAAATAGGGTTTAAAAAGATTAGGGAGATAGACAAGCTTATACACTACTGGTGGGAGTATGGACTACTACAGCCATAATGGATAGCACTGGGTAACATTTCTCAGAATTAAGAGTTCACATATTCTTTAATACTTAGCTATTTGTACATGCACGAAGAGACAATTTTATACTACAGAATTGGGTGTAATTGCAAAAGACTGGTAACAAACTAATTGACCATCAATGGAATATATGTAAATATTCTATTCTCACATAATGAAATACTTCAGTCATTAAATTGAAACAAGAAAATTTACACACTGATGCAAAACAATCCTCAGGATGTACTATGAAATGAAAAAAGTCATGTACAGAACTATGTCCTTCATATGCTGCAAGAATAGAATAGTTGTACTTCGTTTGCCAGATATCCCAGATCCTGTCTAGGAGTTGCACATGGCTGAGGAGAGCAAAGTCACATATGCTATTTTATTATGTTTGGTATTATTGTGTGTGAAGATATGGACAACTGTTTCAAAGAAAACAAGAGACATTATAGTAGCCACTGTTGATATCCTGTTGCATGTTGTGAAGTCCTGTATTGCTTGCATTATTCTGTTCTGCTTTGCTTTGTTCTATTCTTTTTAAAGTAACGAAACAAAATAAAAGGAAAAAGGAAACAATGCCTGTAGCTAATGTCTGATCAAAGGCCTGCTGACCTCATCCTAAAGGGGGACAACTTCCAAGGGCCATACCAGCTCCGGAGGCCAACTAAGGCCTCTGCTAAGACTGAAGTAGGTTTAACTCCTTCATCTGCTCAGTCCTGCTTTCTTCTGTTTCTTACTGATGTTGATCTCAAATTCTCAAGGGCACACTCCTGCAAAAGTCACACCCTGCAAATCTCTATCTCAGAGTCCATGTTCCTATAACCTGCTTGCTATCTTCATTTGTAGAGAAAAGAGTAGAGAAGACAGTAATAAAAATAAAATGCACGGGCTGCTGTTGGACTGGGAACAGCTAGACCCAAGCCTCGTCCCATGAGTCAGCACCATTCATGGACTGGGGGAAGAGAGAACAATGTCTGTACCAGCAAAGAAGCCCAGTGTGGAAACCAGTGCCAAGCACAGGCTGCCACTAGATGGGAACGGTCAGACCCCAGGCCCTTTCAGTGTGCGGGCTGGCAAACAAGGTGTATGAACTCCCCCACCCCAGCCTACCCCCACCCCACGGCCAAGTGACTGGCTGATCCAGAGAAACACAGCTGTGATGATAGCTAGGGAGGTGAAGTACAATTGGATGCCTGCGGTGCTTTGGTGTTTCACTAACACTGCCGGGGTTGGGCCAGTTGGTCTGTGCATAGGTTCAGAAGATATCATCTAGGGAGGGATCTCCTTCTGAGAGTTGTAGCTATTGTTGACTCCCTACGGCCTTGTTTTGAGGTCCTATATCATTTCCATTGTTTTGTTGGGTTGACTTTTATTCTGTTTTGTTTTGTTTCATTATGTTAAATCCAATGGTAGGAGCAGCTATTTCAAGGATAGCAAGATATACTATGGTAGCAATTTTGGATTTACTATTGGCTAATTTTGAAATCCTTTATTGCATTCATTGATTTGTTTTTATTGTTTGTATTCTGTTCTGTTTGATTTTTACTATGTCTGAAGTTATCTGCAGCTATTTTAAAGACATCAAAAGGTATTAGGGTAACTATTGTTGATTTCATAGTGTTTTAAAGTACACTGGTTTGTTTTGATTGGTTTTATTCTGTTTTATCCTCTCTAAAATAAAATTAAAATTTTTAAAAATGAAAATTACAAAAGTGATTACACACTTATATATTTGTCTAACTATGCAGAAAATGCCACTGAAAAGACACACAAATATTTGAAGTGTTGATGAACTCTCTGGGGAAGAGACCTGGAGAGCTGGGGGTCAAGAAAAAGCAGGAAGACTTCATAGTTTTACCTTTTTGTGTTTTTGAAATTTGTATCATGGCCATATAGTACCTATGTACAACAATAAAGAAAATAGCAATGCCTTTAAGAGGCAAAGGGGAGCTAGCTGTTCAAGACAACCCAAGCAGTCTCTTCACAGCTGTTAGACATCACCAGCACTCGGCATGTGTGCCTTCCAGGCTGACACCAAAGGTCACAGCAGTGAAAATGGTGTTCATGGTCACCACCAGCGGCTGACAAGGGAGAGGATTTTAATTCTTGTCCATTTCCTAACCTACAGAGACATTATGGATTCAAGTCGGCTTGTGAATGAGGAATTCTCCCTGCCTGGCGTGGCCCATGAAGCTGTTGCCAAAATCCAGGCATCACAGAGAAACCTCAGGCCTTCAGTGAAAAGCCACATTCCCATTGCAGAAGACCGGAAAGTGCAAGGTAGCATTTGTCCTTTGGCCCTGAGTGATCTGATGATGACGGGGCTGATGCATCCCTTGGGCCCATTTCTGGGAAGATGGTGAAATCCTGGCCTCACTCTGACTTGGTTCTGCTGACCACCCAGCTGTTCAACACATACATTGGGTGGGGGGGCTCTCTCTGATGCTCCCTCCAAATCAGAACTGCTGCCTCTGTGATCTGCCAAGTCCTTGCTTTTGGAAATTTCCTCTTCACCTCATTTTTGAACATAGAACTGAAATATTCCAAGAAGTAAATTTCTCAAGAACTGCTCAGTCAGCAAGAATGCCAGTTGGCAGAAGCCAAGGTTGGGAGTAGAGACATGTCCCAGTTCCTGCAGGTCCCGGGGAGCCAATAAACATCGGATGCCAACAGCTCTGGTCCAGACCACACCATAAAATGACTTTATGGGGCTTCACTCTTCTCCATTTACTAGATCTCTCCTCATTCCCAGACCTTTCTGCATCCTGCCCTCCTCCCATCCATTCCTTGGCTGGTACTGATTAAGCACCAGATACTTTCCCCATTTCCATTCTGCTAGCAGTGATGGGTGTAATGTGGAGGCATTACCAAGCCTAGGGAGGACTGAGATTGATGCCAGAAACGGAAGCCATGTAGCAGAACAGGGTCTCCCCGATCCAGCCTTCAGGGGCTTTGCAGTAGGACTTCAGCTTTTAGAAATAGCCACAGCCATCCAGAATTCCTTCTGCCTTCTCATCCTTGGCCATAAAATGACTTCTCAGAAGCCAAGCTGTTAAATAATGAGCAGTAACAATTACACTAACAAAATAGATGCGTGATAGCTCCCCATGAGATCAGGATAAAGTTACATCTTAAAATAAATGTGTAAAGTATTGACTGTAAGGCATTATTTGGACACCGCACCTCCCCGTTGGATTATGACTTGCTATTCATCTTTAGGAAGCAACACTTACCTGGCCATTGAGAGACCTGGATTTGTTTTCAATTGGATTCATTGTCTTTCCAGAACTGATAGATGGAAGCTCTTCCAAGCACCCTTCTTTTCTCTTTTATCTCAAATGAATGTGATTGAGATACGTCTTGCAAGAATACCCCATGCACAGCCTTGTACAGATAAGATGAGTCTCTTCATACCTCCAAGAAAAGCAACATGCATATGCTCATATGTATATACTCATCACACATGTATATACATATAGAAACACACATGTACACTCATATCTACCTTGCCTCATCCCTGACCAGGTTGAGAAATATCAAGAAATTGCCTTGAGTGAAGCTAGGGATGGTGGAGTAGCAGAAACCAGACTTACCTTTACACTCTGAAAAACAACAACAACAACAAAACTAGATAAATATATGAAAAAATTCCACCATCGAACTATAGGCAACACACGACAGTGACTCATAAGACAAGGAAACTCACAAAGTGAGCCATACTTGGTAACCTATGTCACCACCAGTAATTTCCAGGCCACAACAGAGAGGGAGGATCCAAGCAGAGCCAAGCAGTTTCCTTAGGTTAAAAATGTGGGTTGAGAGAACAAAAAGCCAACAAGAAGCAAGCCCTCGCTACAAAGCAGAGCCATGCACAGGCTGCCACCACCAGGGAGACAGCCAGACCTTAGCCTTTTCCCATGACTCAGAGCCATTCATGGACTGTGGGAGAAGAGGACAAGAAGTCAACAAGAAGCAAACCCTCCCTATAAACCAGCACCATGTGCAGGCCACTGCTGCTGGGGGCACAGCCAGACCCCAGCCCCTCCAGTGCACAGGGTAACAAGAAGAGCGAACCCCCAGCCCCCAAGAAACTGGCTGATCCAGAGAAACACAGGCCGTGAAATAGCTACTGAGGTGAAATGCAATTTGGTATTTGTGGTGTTTGCTGTTTCACTGACTTTGCAGGTCTAGGTTTAGGATCATCTATTCAGAGGATCACGTTATGCAATGTGGCATCTATAGGAAATCTCCTTTTTTGAAAGTAGTAGCCATTGTCAATTCCCTATTATCTTGTTTTGAGGCCCTGCATCATTTTCATTGTTTTGTTGGGTTGAGTTTTATTCGGTTTTGTTCTATTTGTTTTTTTATATCTGATGGCATGAGCAACCATTTCAAAGACAGCAAGATATATTATGGTAGCCATTTTGGGTTTACTATTGTCTTGCTTTGAAGTCCTTTATTGCATTCATTGTTTTGCTTTTCTTGGTTCTGTTCTGTTCTGTTCTGTTTGATTTTTACTATGTCTGAAGATATCTACAGCTATTTTGAAGACAGCAGGAGGCATTATGGTGACTATTTTTGATTTCATATTGTTTTGAACTCCTGTGTCACTTACACTAGTTTGTTTTTATTGGCTTTGTTCTGATTTATTTTGCTTGGGTTTATGCTCTCTAAAATTTAAAAAAAAAAATGTGAGCTGCCTGGCATGATGTCACATGCCTGAAATCCCAGCACTCAGAAGGCTGAGGCACAAGGATCACCATGAGTTTGAGGCCAGTTTAGGTCACATAGTGAGTTCAAGGGCAACTCACATCTGAGCTGCAGAATCTCATCACATGTACATGAAGAAATTATCTGAGGCCAGGAAGAATCTACTAGAAAGGAGCCATCATCAGTGGTCCTAGATTCAAGGCTAGTTCATGTTCTTTCCAGCCAGAGTGGAAAACTCTTTTTTATATAAGGCATTAGGGAGCAATTCAGAGGGCATTGCCCCTACCATAGGGAAAATTAGCCCCAGATAAGCTGTTCTGGTGCCAATTAACAAAACCCAAAAGGAAGCCACAAAAAGATCAAACTGTTTCCAAGTAACTTACAGGGATCCTAGAACAAACCTCAAGAATAATTAAAGAAACACAAAACTCTCCTCTATGCTAGATAAATTTCTCAGTACCTGGGATTCAATACAACCAAATTATTAGGTCTGCAAATGAGTCAGAGAATTATACACATTGTGGAAAGAAAACAGACCCAGAAATGATACAAGTGACAGAATTAGTACACAAGAACACTTAAAGGCACATTATAACTACATTCTCTGCTTTCCAAAAGGCAGGGGAAAGCATAGGGTATTAAGGAAATAATAATAAGATACAAAAGGCCCCAAATTCAACTTGTAGGTTTAAAAAATGCAAAATCTGAAATGAAAATGCAACTTTTAAGGTTAACTGACAATTAGTCACTGCAGAAAAGATTAGTAAGCTCTAACTAAGACAAAGCAATCGAAGTTATTAAAAATTACACAGACAGGGAAAGACTGAGAAAAAAGTAAAGAAATCAGAAGCTGTGAGGGCAACTTCAAGTGGCTCAGTACACCTATAATTACAGTCACAAAGGGAAGGGAGAGGGGGAGAGGGCAGCAAAAACATTTGAAAACAATGACATAAATTTTGTCTATAAATTAATTTTAATAATAGTATAAATGTAAATAGAATTTTCTGGGTAGAAATTGGCAAGTTAAATGTGTATGGAAATATGAAAGAACTATACTAGACAAAACAATTTTGCAAAAGAACAGTGTTGGAAGGAATGTTACAAGGTTATAGAAATCAAGACTGTTAATTTGTAAAAAAAAGAAAAACCAGATGTATAGAAAAATGAAGCAAAAGAATGTCAAATACAAAAATTTAAAAAAAAGAACGTCAAATACAGACTGATGCATATATGGTCAGAAATTTTTTGACCAAAATGCCAAAGCAATTAAACACAGGAAAGATAATCTTGTCACAAACTGTATAACAACAATCAGCTATGTGTAAAAAACAAAAAACAAAACACCAAAAACATTCATCCTTACTTTATACTATATAAACAGTTCAGCTTGAAATACAAAATAGGCCCAAATGTAAGGGTAAAACTATGAAACTCATAGGAGAAAACCTCAGAAAAAAATCTAAATGACTCTAGACTAGAGAAGAATTCTTAAATATACATAAAAACTATAAACCACTTTTAAAAAATCTATATATTGGATTCCATCAAAATTTAAAATATGTGCTGACTAATTAGGGACATTCTTATGGAAATAAAGGAAAGTCACAAACTCAAAAAAGCATTGTAAAACATGTGACAAAAGATTTGTATTTAGAATATATTTTAACTCTTATAACTCAGTAATAAGAAGATGAATAATCCAGCTTTAAGAATGAGAAAAGACTTAAGCAGTCATTCACCAAAGATAATATATAAATCACACAACAAAGTATTTATTAGATATCAGTTAGTAAAGAAATACCACTAAAATCACACTGAGATCCCACTGTACTTCTACCAGAATGGCTAAAGCTAAAGAGTCTGTATCAAATGTTGGTGAGCATCTAAGACTCTCATATGCGTCATACCATAGTACAGTCAGTGTACAACAGGTCGGCAATTGGTTAGAAAGCCAGAGAAATACCTACAAGACAACAAATATCTATAAGACAACCATCTCATCCAAAAAAAGAAATGAAATACAGTTCCACACAGAGATTTATGCACGAATGTTCATGTAGCTGTGTTTGTAATAGACCCAGTTTGGAAATGACCCAAATATCCATCAATAGGTGAATGAATAAACATTCTGTGGTATATTGATACCCTTGACTACTACTCTAAAAGGAGTAACTATTAGTATATGTAACCAGATGAACGAATGTCAAAATAATTATGCTGAAAGAAGTCAGACCAGTGGTTTCCAGGCCACAACAAAGCCAGAAAGATATGTATCAAATGATCTTCTTTATTAAAAATTGTAAAAAATGCAAATAAATCTACAGTGACAGAATCCAGATCATTGTTTGCCTGTAAGTAGAGAAGAAGGGAGGAATGGATTTTGGGGGTGATGGTTATGTTCATTGTCTTGATTGTAATTGAGCTTTCATTGGCAAATACGTGTCTCAAAATTCATCAAATTACATACTTCAAATTTGTGCAATTTCTTGCATATAAATTCTGTCCCAATAAACCTGTGAATAATTATAAATAACTTTTCTAAATACAAATTTTAAAAAGGGTAAGGGCAGGTGTCCATTCCCAGAACACCTGGCCGGGCTCTGAATGCCTGGCCTCACTTTCCTGCGTTCCTCTGCTCTAACTTGGCAATGGCTGGTCTCACCGATTAGCAGCTGGAGCTGTGACCTCGACACCTTAGAACCTGACACCTAAGAGGAGACCTCGGGTTGAGCTACAGTGGCCACAATCTCACACTCTGGTGGGAGACTCTCTTCCTGCCGTTTAACCTGCTCGGTGATGGAATAATGGCAAGAAATAAATAAAAGGAGAGGTTGGCGGGGTGTCTTAGGCGCTGACGACAGCTGTGCAGAAATCTGCTGTGGTTATGAGAAGTTCAATATGGTCAGCTCCTCGCCTGCTCGTTGCAGGCCCAAGGCCCACGTAACCTTTCATAGGTTTTCCTTTCCCTCCAAAACCCTCTCCCTTTACATCCTCCCTCTCTTCCCTGGCACACCTCCAGACCGGCCTGTGATTGGGTTACATACAAGTTTCCAAGCTTGCAACTTCCTTTTGGTCATAAATCACCTCTTGCACACTCACTTTTTCTTTCTCATTGTTCTTCAGTATTAATAGCTTCAAATCCTGGGAGCATTGGAGAGCTGTTCCAATTTTGGTTTGAAAATCAATTTGGAAGCTAGTGGTTGGCTTTGTTTAGACCTCCAATCCCTCTGGGCAGGCCAGTTCCTACAAATTGGCCAAGCCAGGGATAAGGGGATTCTCTTGAAATGCTGGATACTGTGGTCCCAGTGTTTTTCTTTTATTCTATCTCTAAAATTAAAATGTTAATTCTGGGGGAAGAAAACTTACTGCTTTCTGCTGTGTGAGTTGGTAGATTTTTAAAAAATATTCGTCTCAAAGTAGGTCATGTTGTATTATGAAAACAAGAGAATAAATATGAAAATCGTGTTTGTTAAAAGATTCTAATACTCTTCTCAAGTTTTTGGAAACATCTTTCTCCTAAGGAGTTCTGCTTCCTTGGTTGGCTGCTGACCTCCTGCAGGTGAAGTGAGAAAGTGTCAGGTCTCAACAAATTCTAACAGGGCAGGGCTTCCCAGCATGTGGGAGCGGGGACCCTGTGCTGGCTAATGGTTCTAACAGCCTGGTCCCAGCATCAGCCAGCTGGGAGATGCATCAGGGATAAAGGA